ACAATCAGAATCGGAATTAAAATTCCTTGAAATGGTCTATTCCCCTACTTGTTTAGTTCAAACAAGAATCATAATCGGCTAGAATGGATTCTCATTCCCAAGGGAGGGGGGAGGGAATGGTCATTCACTCCAATAGGGAATGTCATTCCATCAGGAATGGGAATTGGATCTTGTTCCATCCAACCAAATGGTTCAACTATTCTAATTCCAATTCCAGATCCTATTCATGCAAACCAAACAGACCCTTAGATATGTAACTAGATTTTCTTTTTTTTGCTTTTTCGTGGCTAAAATTTTCATTTAGCTCATTTTTTTGTTCTAAAAATATAAATTTGTAGAGTGCAAAACCTTGTATTTTATATTATTTTATATGTATTTGCACTATACATATTTGTATTTATACTCCTTCCAAACTAAGCCTATAGAAATCAAGGGAGTGAGACCTTTTTTATGAGATGCAACTTTGGGTAAGTGTAGGTTGAACCAAGGCTTGATGGTTTGGAATTTTTTTCAAATTAGATTTGCACCTTCTAAGTGTTTTGGGTGAGTTCACATTGGCGCATGTGCCCCACATCATATCTACACTGGGAACATGTCCCAATGACAAGTACGAGATATATTCCCAATACATGTTGAGATTGGCATGTGGGGCGCCTATGGGGTGCTGATGTGATCTTGTTCTGGACACCCACATTATATGCCACATGTAAGATTATTGGTTCATTTATAAAGTCCTATAGACTGTAGCTTGTAAAGGGTTATCGGAAAAATACAGACAAACCCAATACAGATTTTTGAATTCCATAGCAGACCTATAAACATTCAAAATGTCAAAACCCCCACTCTATATACCAATGCCTTCCTGTGAATTGACATCAATTCCGAGCTAGCACCTACCCCAATCGTACTTTGGGTCTAAAAATTCTGACCCTGAACTGAACCGTCATTCTCCCAAGGGTTATTAAATGGATCAAGTACACAACTTTACCATGTGGACACACCTATTTATGACATGTGGAGTAATCCCATGGTGAACCCAAACTATCCAATTGGGGATCATCCACTTCCACTTGATTGGCCTAATGTTTAATTTTATGTCTATGTCAATCATGTTGTCTTTATCTTGTATTAGTGGTTCTCCCAAGTCTCAACTAACCTAACCTACCAACTACCAACAAACCTTTTCTTAATTACTCAAAATTCTTTTTCATCTTTTAATCTTTTCTCAACTTCAATGGACAAAAAATCAATGTCTTGTATATGGGCAAAACCTCTACATGGTTACATGTTTGTCTTTTATGCTTGGGAAAAGATTTCTCCAACGTGGAATAGATGTATATCCTGAACCACTCCTACTAATGTGGTTATCAATCCAATTAATTGCATCACCAAAGTTGAGTGGTGCAAATTGCAAAAGAAGGTATCATGTAGAAGATTGAAGGGCTTTCAAACATGTTTTCATGTTCAGAATTTCTATTTCTAAGGCTTGGTTTGGAAAGAGTACAAATACTACAGTGTAAATACGTACAAAATAATATAAAATGCGAGGTTTTATTCTACATATTAGTATTTGTACTCTTAAATGGTTCTGTTCATGGGCCGGGTAACCCGATAGTCCGACCCGCACCTTGGTCGGGCTTGGACATGTAATTAGGCCTGCGGGCCTGACCTTGGGCCCAAAACACCAAGCCCAATTGTGTATCGGGCTGGGCTTGGGATTTGTAAAAGAATCTCGACCTGACCCATTTATATAATATAAAATATATAATATTTATTATAATATATATACATTAATAATTTAATATATATACATTTTTTATTTTTTTCTTTATAATCTCTTTCTCTCTTCAGCCGCTTCAGTAGCGGCATGAGCTATATACTTCGGGCTCAAGCCGGGCTCAGGCTTGGGTCTTAAAAAAATCTATTAATGCAGAGTGAAAGCCCGGCCCGAGCCTGACCCATTAACAGGTCAACTCCTAAATTGAGCCTAATAATTTGAGTTTGCTTGTATGAGCTCTATCCATTTAGAATGATTTTGTAATGGTGCCACTAAATTGACCTTGATGGCTTAGCGGTGGGAGGGTCTTAGAAACAACAAATTAGTCTGGACTCAGATCTAGTCCCCACACCAAACCCACAACACATTGTAGTTGTATATGGGGACTATCTCTTGTAGTTGTATATTATCATTTATGTTGTACGTTATCATTTAGGGGGAACACTCTATTGGGAGTAGGCCTGACTTAGGAGTTCAGCTTTAGTTAGGGATGGCAATTTTCCCCATTTCCTCGATCCCTGTGGGGATCTGCCCCATTCGGGGCAAGGATGGGGATGATTTTCCCCCCGCAGGGATGGGGAAATTTTCATCCCCGTTAATGGGGACAGGGTAGGGACGGGGAGAGCACTCCTCGCCCTATGGGGACCCCGATCCCTGCTTCCCCACTAATATACATGTATATATGTATGCATACGTTATATATGTAAATATGTAAACATACATCTATATATTAATATTTTAAAAAATATGGTTGAATATTTTCTAATACGATTGTAAATGTTAATTATTTTATTTTTATTTTTTTAAATAAAATAAAAAACAAAAACAAAATTGTTAGCATTATAAAGAATCACGAGGAATGGGGATCTCCGCGGGGATAGCGATCCCTGTGGGGATGGAGATGGGGATAAGCTTGTCCCCGTTAGCGGGGACAGGGATGGGGATTTCCGTGGGGACGGGGATGGGGAGAGGCTCCCTGTCCCCGCCCCACCCCGTTGCCATTCCTAGCTTTGGTCAGTGCAAAGCCCATTTGAACAACCTTTACAACCTTGCATTGAGAATATCTCCATGTTTACGTGCTTTATTTCATGGGGAGATATTCCAAATGCAAGGTTGCAAGAGATTGTTAGAACGGTGTGAGCACAAGCTTGCACTAAGTTGGGCTCCTGACTTAGACTTTGGGCACATGATTTGACTTTGTTTGGTGGTTTGGATGCAGATGCCCTTTGTGAATTGCAACAATCTTATGCAGATGCCCTAAGATTTTTGCTTTTACACTATCCTAGCCTAGTTAACCTTGGCTGTTGGGCCCCCAACAACCTATGCTATTGAGAGTGATTTTAGGTTAGACATGTTCACCAATTCACGCCCATATCTATGATTATAGTTAAAAATACTATTTTACCGTAACGTGGCATTTCCAAAAAAGTTCTCAACAGTAGAGGCGTTGGCCCCTAACAACCGAAGTTTTTTCCATCCTATCCCAAGGCTGAGACAATTAAATCAAAGCTCTTGATTTGTTGCCATGACGCCACCTTGAATTAAAATGAAGTGACTTATTAGTAGAGCCTCTAATTAAGGTGTAACCTAACCATGGGCAATTTTTGCAAACTCAATCAGTAACACCAATTTTTTCATTTCTCTAAATTGAAACTGAACCGGTACCACCAATTAAGTGGTCTATTGGTTTTAGTTTTTGACCAGTTCGATTCTTCAATTTTTTGGTTTTTTATATTTATAATATATATTATATAAATATATGTATAATATTATATTAAAAATAATAAATGATATATAATATATTATAAATATTTTGAAAAATATAATATATAATGTATTTATAAATATATTATTATAAACATAATATATATATATTTATATATAATGAATATATATTTATATATATATATACCAGTTAGTTCGATTAACCAAAAATCGAACCAGTCCTTTAGTTTTTCAAAAATACGAAACTGATCGATTTGATTAACCGGTCTCCCTAAAACTCCGCCCCTGGTCATGACTCCCCTGGTCTCCCTAAAACTCCGCCCCTGCCCCTAGCATCAAACAAAATTATAATTCTCTATCAAAAGACGCAAATATTTAAAATAATGTTTTACACATAAAACAAAAAAAAAACGGTTTGAATCTACGGTTACTTGGATATTAATATTGTACTGTACTCCATCAGTCATCATATAATGAGTGCCCCGATGTCCAGATGTTACAGCTGTGCCAATGGGCTTTAGTCAGACAAACCCCTGGTATAATTCATTAACAGTCCAAGCAACCCTGTCCATTGGCCAAGGCCCGGCCCAGGCCCAATAAATTATTGGTTGAATCACAAATCACAATCTGAATCATTTTCCTTATTTTTTTTAATCATTAAATGCCTCCCCTGGTCAAAGATTGTTTGTGACCACCCCGGATTGACCGCATTATTCTGCGTCTTGTTTTTATTTCTTTTTTTGGTAATTGCCAATTTGCCATAAGCATGTTCCAAGGATAAATCCGTCTGGCCGTTTTTGGAGTTTAGTTCAATTATGGTCCTCCCATCCTCCCATGATGATCACTTTTCTCACGTCAGATTGGAATCCCATTTACATCCTTTCCCCACATTTAATGGTTGGCAATCTGGCATTTATTAGTTCCCTCCCCAGTCCGCCTAGCGCCAATCATTAAATCGAGATCCCTGTAGATCTCCACCGTCGATCTGACCGAGTGGGTCCTGCATGGCTCGTTTATATCACGTCGTCTCGTCTATTACTGGAGCAATGGAATGAGGCAGGTGAGCAAGTACGTACAGTCACAGTCAGTGTATTGAATACCAAGAAAATTCTCTTTTCATGTCCTTTTTGTTCCCACCTGCAGAGGGATGTTCCTACGGTGCGTTGTGCAAACGTTGCTACTTGATCAAGATCTACCAACCGTTGGATTTTTCTCAACTACAATCCCACAATCTAGCCTTTGGTGGTGTATATGCTTTTCTTGCACGCTTTCTCTTAGCAACAAAATTCTTTAAAAGTGATAACTGAAAAAAGAAGGTGAAGGTGGTGAACTACTGAACTACCCAGTCTACCCTTTATCCAGGTGGGGCACGATGAGAGTGGACAAAACGGCTCAAATTGATCCCAATGATCGACGGCTCATATCATTCGAGTTCCTTACTCGATTGCCAAACAGAATATACTGAATCAGCTTTAGAGTTTGGATTGCTTCCACTACGCAGTAATGGAATTGATGGCTTGATGCTTTCATGCTTCTGCGGGCAACAGAACAAACATCGTCGGAGGAATGAATAGAAGCTGAGTAAAGGCTGAACCGTGGGTCTAGGCTTCCAGATTCAGACTGCAGCGGCCGTTATTCGAGGTTAGGGTTTCGACTTCCCAGTCCAGGCCCCCATGAATATCTCTTTCACTTGATTCTGATTTACATTGCATCTGCAATTGGATTTATGAAGATTAATTAATTTGGTTTTTAATTTATTGCAGCGGATTAGTGTTGTTGGGTTCTGAAGTCAGACAGCCTTGAAGTATAATATATTAATCTCCGGAAGAGTTTTCACAGTTTCAGGTGATTCATTAAATTTTTTTTACTGAAGCCACAGTTGATTGTCCAAATTAATGCAAAAGTCCAAGCGGGAGTGTGGGACCAGGTTTTTAATTTAATTTTTCCCTCTATACAGAACAGTACTCATCATCTCCCCGCTTCTCTGTATCTGTGACAGAAAGGCAAGGAATTAGCAGAAGAAAGAGACACAAACGTAAGACGATGCTATGAGCCTCAGACAGCGCCCAGCTGCGGCCGCCGCTCGCGGTGGTGGTCCGGACCCTGGCTCCGGCTACGGTTCCACCCCGCCACAAGCCAACGACTATGAAGAACCTTTCAACATCATCCCCGTCCACAACCTCCTTGCTGATCACCCCTCTCTCCGCTACCCCGAAGTCCGCGCCGCCGCTGCCGCACTGCGTGCCGTCGGCGACCTCCGTAAACCCCCATACGTCCAATGGCGCGACGGCATGGACCTCCTCGATTGGCTTGGAATCTTCTTCGGCTTCCAGCGCGACAACGTCCGCAACCAGAGAGAGCACATTGTGCTTCACCTAGCCAACGCCCAGATGCGCCTTCAACCCCCTCCCGATAACATCGACTCCCTCGACCACGCCGTCCTCCGTCGCTTCCGTCGCAAGCTCCTCAGGAATTACACGCGTTGGTGCTCTTACCTCGGCTGCAAATCTAATATATGGATCTCTGAACGCCGTGAATCCCCTTTCGATCAACGACGTGAGCTCCTCTACACATCCCTTTACGTCCTTATCTGGGGTGAAGCCGCCAATCTTCGCTTTGTCCCCGAATGCATTTGCTATATTTTCCACCACATGGCTGGGGAGCTTAATAAGATTCTCGAAGACTACATCGACGAGAACACGGGCCGAGCTGTGCTGCCTTCGATTTCTGGTGAGAACGCATTCTTGAACCGTGTTGTTACTCCTCTTTACCACACACTTAAGGCTGAGGTTGATAGCAGCCGTAACGGCACTGCCCCTCATTCCGCTTGGAGAAATTACGATGATATCAATGAGTACTTCTGGAGCCGGCGCTGCTTTCAGAAACTCAAGTGGCCTATTGATGAAGGCAGCAACTTCTTTGTAGTTAAGGGTAAAAGCAAGGGGGTGGGCAAGACAGGTTTTGTAGAGCAGAGATCATTCTGGAATATTTTTCGAAGCTTTGATCGACTGTGGATCATGCACATATTGTTCCTTCAGGCTGCCATTATTGTCGCATGGGAGGGGAAGGAATACCCCTGGACTGCGTTGGAGAGCCGTGATGTTCAGGTTCGGGTGCTTACTGTCTTCATCACTTGGGCGGGCCTACGTTTCCTTCAGTCGCTGCTTGATGCTTGTACCCAGTACAGTCTGGTATCAAGAGAGACGTTGTGGCTTGGGGTGAGGATGGTTCTAAAGAGCATTGTTGCCACGGTATGGGCTGTTGTATTTGGTATTCTCTATGGAAGGATTTGGTCGCAGAGGAATTCTGATCATAGGTGGTCTGCCGAGGCAAACCGCAGGATGGTGACTTTCCTTGAGGCTTCATTTGTTTTTATAATCCCAGAGTTGCTGTCATTGGCTCTTTTTATTCTCCCATGGGTTCGGAATTTCCTTGAGGGCACAAATTGGAGGATCTTCTATATCTTGACTTGGTGGTTTCAGAGCAAGGCCTTTGTAGGTCGTGGCCTTAGGGAAGGTCTAGTGGACAACATAAAGTATTCCATGTTCTGGGTTGTAGTTCTTGCTTCGAAGTTTACTTTCAGTTACTTTCTCCAGATCAAGCCCATGGTTGCTCCGACTAAGGCTGTTTTGAATCTCAGGAATGTGCATTACACCTGGCATAAATTTTTTGATGATACAAACAGGCTTGCAGTGGGGTTGTTGTGGCTTCCAGTGGTTTTGATTTACCTCATGGATTTGCAGATCTGGTATTCAATCTTTTCCTCCTTTGTTGGTGTAATGGTTGGATTGTTCTCACACCTGGGTGAGATTCGGAATATCCAGCAGCTGAGGCTGAGGTTCCAGTTCTTTGCTGGTGCAATGCAATTTAATCTCATGCCACAGGAGCAGCTGCTGAATGCACGAGGGACGCTAAAGAGCAAGTTGATTGATGCCATTCATCGATTGAAGTTGCGCTATGGGCTGGGCCGGCCCTACAAGAAGATTGAATCAAACCAGGTTGAGGGGTACAGATTTGCCTTGTTATGGAATGAAATAATTGAAACTTTCAGAGAAGAAGACATTATAAGTGACCAGGAGTTGGAGCTCTTGGAACTGACACCAAACACTTGGAATATTAGGGTCATACGCTGGCCATGTTTGCTCCTGTGCAATGAGCTGCTTCTTGCTCTCAGCCAGGCAAAAGAGTTGGTGGATGCACCCGATAAATGGGTTTGGTACAAAATTTGCAAGAACGAGTACAGGAGATGTGCAGTAGTGGAAGCTTATGATAGCACCAAATACTTGCTCCTAGACATTGTCAAGGATAACACTGAAGAGCATTCCATTCTTAGAAGCATTTTCCTTGAGATTGATCAGGCACTTCAGTTGGAGAAGTTCACAAAGACCTACAAGACAACTGTATTGCCACAGATACATACTAAATTGATATCTCTTCTGGATCTCCTAGCCAAGCCTAAGAAAGATGTAGCCCAAATAGTGAATGTATTGCAGGCCCTCTATGAGATATATATTAAAGATTTCCCAAAGGAGAAGAGGACCATAGACCTGCTGAGACAGGATGGTTTGATGCCTGAGAGGCACACAGGGTTGCTTTTTGAGAATGCTGTTGAGTTGCCTGAAGATGCCTCTTTCTATCGGCAGGTGCGACGTTTGAAGACTATTCTTACATCTAGGGACTCGATGCATAACATCCCAAAGAATCTTGAGGCGAGACGACGCATAGCCTTTTTTAGCAATTCCCTGTTTATGAACATGCCCCATGCTCCTCAAGTTGAGAAAATGATGGCATTCAGTGTTCTAACTCCTTATTACAATGAGGAAGTCCTATACAGCAAAGAACAACTAAGGACTGAGAATGAAGATGGAATTTCTACTCTGTTTTATTTGCAGAAGATTTATGATGATGAATGGGCTAACTTCATAGAACGAATGCACAGAGAGGGGGTGAAGGATGAGAAAGAGATTTGGACAGATAGGTTGAGAGACCTCCGTCTTTGGGCATCATACAGAGGTCAAACGCTATCTCGCACTGTAAGGGGAATGATGTATTACTACAAGGCTCTCAAGATGCTGGCATTTCTTGATTCTGCATCTGAGATGGACATTCGGGAAGGATCGCAAGAACTTTCTTCTGTTGGTCCAATGAAACGAGATGGCAATGTGGATGATCTGGGCTCAGCTCCATCCTCACGAAATTTGAGCCGTGCAAGTAGTGGTGAAAATCTGTTATTCAAAGGTCATGAATATGGGACTGCATTGATGAAATACACATATGTAGTTGCCTGCCAAATTTATGGGACTCAAAAGGCAAAGAAAGATCCACGTGCTGAGGAGATTCTGTATTTGATGAAGAACAATGAAGCCCTTCGAGTTGCCTATGTTGACGAGGTTCAGACAGGGAGGGATGAAAAGGATTATTATTCAGTTCTTGTGAAATATGACCAGGATTTACAAAAGGAGGTGGAAATATACCGGATCATGTTGCCTGGTCCCTTGAAGCTTGGAGAGGGTAAACCAGAGAATCAAAACCATGCTATTATATTCACTCGTGGTGATGCAGTTCAAACAATTGACATGAACCAAGACAACTATTTTGAGGAGGCCCTCAAGATGCGGAATCTATTGGAGGAATACAGAAGCTACTATGGTCTTCGGAAGCCAACTCTCTTGGGAGTCCGTGAACACATCTTCACTGGTTCTGTCTCCTCACTTGCTTGGTTCATGTCTGCTCAAGAGACAAGCTTTGTTACATTGGGACAGCGTGTTCTGGCAAACCCTCTCAAGGTCCGAATGCACTATGGCCACCCTGATGTGTTTGATAGATTCTGGTTCTTGACTCGGGGTGGCATCAGTAAGGCCTCCAGAGTGATAAACATCAGTGAAGACATATTTGCAGGCTTCAATTGCACACTACGGGGTGGTAATGTTACACACCATGAATACATCCAGGTAGGTAAGGGAAGGGATGTTGGGTTGAATCAAGTATCAATGTTTGAGGCCAAGGTTGCTAGTGGCAATGGTGAACAGGTTTTGAGCAGGGATGTGTACCGGTTGGGTCATAGACTGGACTTCTTCCGAATGCTCTCATTCTTCTATACTACTGTGGGCTTCTATTTTAATACAATGATGGTGGTCCTGACTGTTTTTGCATTTGTTTGGGGCCGCCTTTATCTGGCTCTCAGTGGAATAGAGAAGTCCATGATTCAAAGTTCAAATAACAATAAAGCACTTGGTACAATCCTGAATCAGCAATTCATTATCCAGGTAGGTCTTTTTACTGCTCTCCCCATGATTGTGGAAAATTCTCTTGAACATGGGTTCCTTAATGCAATCTGGGATTTCTTGACAATGCAACTCCAGCTTGCATCTGTATTTTACACATTCTCAATGGGGACCCGTACACATTTCTTTGGCCGGACAATTCTTCACGGTGGTGCAAAATATCGGGCCACTGGGCGTGGTTTTGTTGTGCAGCACAAGAGCTTTTCTGAGAACTATCGACTTTATGCCCGTAGCCATTTTGTCAAGGCAATTGAACTTGGAGTGGTTCTGACAATTTATGCCTCATACAGCTCTCTTGCCAAGGACACTTTTGTTTACATAGCCATGACAATATCAAGTTGGTTTTTGGTAGTATCATGGATCATGGCTCCCTTTGTGTTTAATCCTTCTGGATTTGATTGGTTAAAGACTGTATACGACTTTGATGACTTTATGAATTGGATATGGTATCGTAGTGGGGTAGGCACTAAAGCTGATCAGAGCTGGGAAACATGGTGGTATGAAGAGCAGGATCATTTAAGAACCACAGGTCTTTGGGGGAAACTATTAGAAATAATCTTAGATCTTCGCTTTTTCTTTTTTCAGTATGGGGTTGTATACAATCTAGGCATTGCCAATGGGCATACAGGGATTGGTGTTTACTTGTTTTCATGGATTGGTATAGTTGTGCTCATTGGAATTTACGTGATAATTGCATATGCTCGAGACAGATATGCAGCAAAAGAACATATCTATTATCGGCTGGTTCAGCTCCTCGTTACTGTGGCTACAGTACTTGTCATCATTCTCTTGCTGAAATTCACCCATTTCAAGTTCATTGATATTCTCACAAGCTTGTTGGGATTTATCCCTACAGGTTGGGGACTAATATCCATAGCCCAGGTTTTCAGGCCCTTTCTAAAGTCTACTGTAGTGTGGGAGATTGTGGTGTCTATTGCTCGTATGTACGACATACTTTTTGGAGTAATTGTTATGGCCCCTGTGGCTTTTCTTTCATGGATGCCTGGATTCCAGTCTATGCAGACAAGAATCCTCTTCAATGAAGCATTCAGTAGGGGACTTCAGATATCTCGTATTCTAACAGGCAAAAAATCCAATGAGAAATTGTGATTTGAGGTAATTCTTTGTTGACATCTTTTGAGACTTGTTTTCTGAAGTTCTATCTATGCTTCTTTTGTGCTAGTGTTTTTGAATAAAATGGAGTTGCTACTTGAGTGGCTGCAATTTTACATCTGAAACTTGGATTAGTATTTGTGTCTTTTTTTTTAATATTTTAACTGTGGATAAATTAGGACTAAACTTGTTCTCACATGGTTGTTGAATGGAGCCATATTCAAGTGAGCTATTGACATTCATAATCCTTTCTGCTGTTGAGAAGCAAAGGCCTAGTGCTTAGTATTTAGTATATAGAACCTCTGCTTGAATTTACAGGTGGCACTAACCATATTCTGCAATTATTTTGAACCTTAGTAATTTTGTAACTTTCAGGCTATGGTTATACTATTATTTGTGCATGTTTCATTGTGGTTATTCTTATTTCCATTTGTCAGTCAAGACCTTACATCTTGTATACCTTCAATAAGTTTCCTGTTATTAACAAATTAATTTTGTTCATTTCTGCAAAATTATCCAATTACAGGGCTCCCAGCACCATCTTCTTTAGATTATGATTTTAAGGTTTTTTTTTTTTCTTTTTCTTTTTCATACTTTTTGGTACAGTGTGTCAAAGAAACTTGGGAAGTATGCATCACCCACATGTCGAAGGTTAGACTAAGGTGGCTAATTGTGGTGTTCAAGATATATTTCATGAATCGGTGGGAGAGAGGATAAAATAACCTGATCATTTTTTGTCAGAATCTGAAATTTCCTTTATATGTTATTGTAATAGTACCATTTAGGAGGTTTTCCTTTGAAACCTAGTCATGTCTATCATTTGGTGCATGCCCCTAATATTTCGAAGATGGGTATAAAGATGGTAAAAAGAATTGAAAAATCATGAGGGATTTCTTATAAGGACCTAGTAGTACCAAAAAGATTATTTTCTAAGTTGGGAGAAAGGTGTGCACTAAAATCGAGGATGGGAAGCTAGGTCTTGGAAAGGTGATTGCTAAACACCTTATGAGAAAATGGTTGTGGAGATTTTCTATTGAGGAGTGGAATCTTTGGCATTCAGTTACCAAGATTCAAGAGCAAATATGGATTGAACACTAATGGCTGGGGAGCAGGATGCACAACAGGGTCAGACTAAGGTGCCTTTTGAATCCTCTTGCCTCAATTCACCCTTTGTTTGGCAGGTTCATTATATAGGATCCAGTAACTAGTGTGATTGGATTGGAAGGTTGTGTTTCTTGGAGGATTATGAGATAATGAGTGCAGATTTCATTTCCCTCACATACCCGAAAGGCAATATTCTAAGAATTCTGATCATACTCCAATTCATGGGGGGACTAAATCATGTTGATTTGGAAAAGGTTGTAAATATAGAAGTGAAACCTCTGGGATTTAAAGTTGGAAGGGGTATACCCAATACCTCTAAGGGATACTGATGTTGGTCCTGAAGAAAATATTTCAAGGTCCGAAGACATTAGCGATGGACAGAAATCTGATGGACTTGCAAGAGTCATTAATGGTAAGGGTGAAGCTTTGGAAGTAGACCAACTTTTAAGAAGAAAACAATGTTAGAATTGGAAAGGATTGATGAGAAGAGTAAGGATTTGTTGGATCTCAGAAAGGATAATCTCAGTCAGAAGATTCAAAAATCAAAAAAGGAACCTATATTGGTGTCAAAGGTATTTAAGTGCACCACTTGTGCACTAAAGGCGAAAGGTGATACAACCCAGTTCAGCTTCAAAATGAGCCCATAAGAAAGATCAGCTTCAAAATCAATTAACCATTCATAATCATTCCTCAGATCATGTGCCGACGGAAAATACACTTGAAAAGGTCCTTGCATAACTAATCTTTAATTTAGAAATGGGGTTTAGAACCAAAATTCATCAAACCCCAATTCAAGGGATGGGGTTGTTTTCCCTAGAGTCATTTCCAAGGAAACCAAGCCCAGTGGCAGAGGCTGTTTTCATTGTGATCTCATCAAGAAAATGGTCAAATCTACGTTCTTCATTGTGGTCTACTTTCATATTTCCTCAAGTGGGTCTTACATGACATCACACTACACTATCTAAAGATAGTGTATTGGGGGGGGGGGATTATCACACCACATTGAAAATGGAAATGACCTAAGTGCGCATTTAATTTGACCACCTATGATCCTGTAAAAAATGTGACCGGATTCTGTGCTCATTTATTGAGATGGTACTCTATTAATATATACATTAGTCTCTAACAAGACAATGATGTGGTTTTTCAGGTTTGGAGATAGAACATGGTGTAGAAGGTCTTTTAAAGTTAAGAAAGGTTGGAGATTATTTCCATCTATTGAAGTTCTTAAGCGTGGATAGTAGTACTGTGGCTGCTGCCATATTCTTCCCATCCAGTGCCATTGGAGGGCAGACTTGAGCATTTCTTGATCTTTGGCTGCATCTTCCCTTTAATGCTGTAATTAATGAATTCACTAATCCGTTCGTGTGAGATTCTTTATCTGAGCAGATTGTAATTAATTTCACTAGAGGCCTTTTTGTTTGCTCTGGTCGACATCTTTGTGGTTTTTTGAGGTTCGGCTTATGTCAAATTTCTCCTGCTGAGTGCCAGCTTAGTGTGGCAGTTATGGGAAGCACTTTATTATTTCTCTCTTCCTCAGTTCACTCCATCTGTCTTCCAGCTGCTGTAAGACTACCAGCCTACCACTTGCCTGTACGTTTACAGGTGGAAATATGGAACATTGCTCCCTATTCCTCTTCACTCATTGCAAAAAAAGAAAACACAGATGATCTCTCAATCTGTAAGTGACTATTTTTCCTTTGCCCTGCATATCTGAAAATTGTATTGACAGTTCTTTAGGTTGACAGGAGTTTCATTGCGAGAAAATATTTTTGTATGGAGTGGATTTGGATGGCTGCAATCTCATGTACACTTTGTCATCCTACCGTATTCATTAATGAAATTACTGGCTTCTGAGTTCTGAATCTTCTGATTTACACTGGACATTACTTGTTGCCTGGCATGTGAAGCACAATTCAATGAATGAATGAATGAAAGAGGAAAGGGAAAATTCAAAATGCACAATTTGCCTCCAAAGGGCTTATTTCCAGTCTCCACTTTTAACCCCCTTCTTTTCTCCTTCAAATTCCAACAGCAAAGCCTCTCCAATATTGTTATTGCAAGAATCCCAGACCTAAAAGTTTCATAGCGAATGCCAAAACCCAAAAGTCATATGCAAGTTCCTCCATTTTTATCAACAAAAGTAAATAAAAGAAAAAATATCAAATGAATCATAATAAGAATCTAATGGTTCAAAGTATCATATGATGATGCTTCATACTTGATTTGTATAGGCAACCTCAAAAGCTAATTTGTATTTGCAAATTCCTCCAACGGGCATCTTCGCAATCGTTGATAACCTTCGTTGAGATGTTTATTCACCATCCTTTGTTCCCTAATCAACCCCCTAACTATACGCCTGGCTTATAACACCTTTCCTTGTCAAAGCCGCATTATAGAACAAATAAGGCTCCATTTGGAAGGAGTACAAATACAAATGTATAGAGTGCCAAACTTTGTATTTTGTATTACTTTTGTATGTATTGTACATATTTGTATTTGTACTCTTCCAAACTGAGCCTAAATAAATAAATAAAAGTGTATTATTTGGCAATATAGAGTCCAGTCTCTCTTCATCTTATATATAGGTGTGAAACGGGCTGGACTACCCACCCTCTCACTCAGCTTGGTTCGGCTCTGTTTCAATCGAGCTTTGAGCCGAGTTTGAGCCCAATTTACAGGTTCATTTAATAATTGAGTCGAGTTTGAGCTTAATAATAATAATAATAATAATTATTATTATTATTATTATATTTTTATTTTTATATACAATAATAACTAATTATTATAATTCTTAATTTTTTAAATATCAAATAATTTTTTATTTTTATATAACATTTTTTCTCAAGTCAAACTCGAGCTCAAGGTTCTAGCTCGAACTCAAGCCTTGTACTCACTTGGCGAGCCGAGCTCGAGCCTCGTACTATTCGGCTCGGCTCAAATCCACCCCTACTCACAATCATGGCCCAGGGGCTACAGTGTCATGCTAGGTCTAGTCCCTTTCCAATGGCTATTTTAGCTTTTAGGGGGCATAAATGACTTAAGTGCCCCCCAACAACAATAAAAAACAGTTAGTTTCGGGATATTTTTTGTATTTAAACATTAGACATTGGAGATCTTAAATTCTCAAAACACCCCCTAATTTTGGAACTATGTACATGTTTCAAAGATTGGTTGGGTGAGGATATATTATAAGATTGAGAATGACATAATACTTCACCCAATGGAATAGTAAAAGATGCAAACGATAATCAAGGAGATGCAATGTGAAGGCCCACTAATTGTATAAAATTTGTAATATTATTATAAATTTTGATTTTCAATTTTATTTGTTTAATTGTAATCGAAATCATTTGTGTTTTTTTTTAATTCTATTGCAAATTTTTATTTTTCAATTTTAATTGTATTATTGACCTTTTTTTAATCTAGAAATAGGGCTATAAATAGATTGAATCAAATTGAATATAGGTAGATCCAAAATTGTCTCTTTTACATTTGAATTTGACAGATCGTATCCATCGGATTTTTTTATTGGATTTGAATCAAACTTGGAGCGCAATCGGATAGAGTGTAGGGATGGATCCACATTTGATTCAATTATACATGGTTTGAACTTGGATCTTCATTAATTGGATCAAATTCAAATTTAGACAATTGGGCATACATTGACCTCGCAACATGGTACATGTTCCAAAGCAGATGTCAATTCAATTGGGCGTGGGTTAAAGCACTATTTGGGGGAAGGAAACAGTGCTTATAAAGAGTTATAATTATTTGATTTAACTTAAGTCGTGATGGTTCCATGGTCTAGTGGTTAGGACATTGGACTCTGAATCCAGTAACCCGAGTTCAAATCTCGGTGGAACCTTTTAAATATCTATTTTTACCGACTTTTTTGCTAAACGAGTCCTTGTCTTTTGGCTTCTGATTCTGAGCCCGACGCTACTTTGCTAAACGAGTCCTCGTCTTTTCCCTACTGAAAAAACCATAACGCTTTGTTATCCTGAAAAAACCTGACCGATAATTTCAGCATTCTGAAACCCTACCTCTCAATTTCTTCAGAAGCAATCGAAGAACATGGCGTGCATATSTCCAGCTCCATCGTCGTTGCTTCTCTCTTCCGACCTGTGCAGAAGTCGAGGTGCGAAGTCCACGACGCTTTCCTGGGTTTCTTCTTTTCCCCAGATGAAAATTTCCATCAATTCGATCAGGACTTCATTTCGTGTTATGCCCAACAAGGTAAGAAACTCCCATTTCCAGAACCCTAATCTACGTTTCTCTTCTTTTGCTTCCAGTTCTTTGAATTTGGTTTTATCAATCAATGTGCATTTTGCTACACTTAATATGTGCATTCTGGTGTGCAAAATTTTGGTTGGTCGATTAGGTCGTATGGTAAACAGACTTTCAGTTGAAGTTCCAAATCCTATTCAGTATCATCTTTTCCAAGGGAAAATTCTAATTAATTACTGAATTTATAAATCCAATAGTGTGCAAAGAAACCCTACATATCTTTTGTAATTCCAAACTGTCCTTTTCACAAAAACGGTTCATAAAATGAAACTATTCAAGAATGAAGTTCACGAAAGGTGGTGTGATTAAACATGGGCATATTGTTATTGTTATTATTGTTCAGAGGTAGTACAGAAACTTATGAAGTGATACAGCTGCTTTTGTTAATTATATCTAAACATTTAATGGAAATGTTAGATTAGACTTTAAAAAGAAGAGAGATACCCGTTTATTATTGATCAAGAATCAAAGAACTGCTGTGCAGTTTAATGCTGATAGCAGAAATGGATGATTCTCAAGTGTGGGCCGTTGAGTGCGGTTTTATTAAATTTGGTTTTAGCATCCTCAAGATTCTCTGAGGATACAATTTGCTTATTGCATTGGATCAATATTCTCTAGTAGAAAATTTATAAGGTGAATGCCCATCCAGTTGGACTTGTTATCTCTGTCGAGTCATGTATGTTAATCCTGGCATTTAGCTTCCACCCTCCATTCTGAATATTATCAATGAAAATTAATGATGGGAGAACATGTAAGAAGACATTGTTACAACAAACTGTCATTTTTCTTGTGCGGAAGCTTTTGGCATGTGTGTTAATGGTGGCAAATCCTCTGATCATCTTACCAGGTTTCCATGAAACCACCTGTAGATTATTAGATTTTATCGCTCACTATTTCTGGATGCTAATTCTTTTTTTTTTTTTTTGAGAAAAAGTAAAGTATAAATTTATATTAACTGAGAAAAAATATACAAGTATGGCCCTATGTACATGAGGACCATTTCTGGATGCTAATTCTTTGGACCAGCTTCAAGGCATAGTTGTCAAGGCAATACCTAGTGATATTTAGTGACAAGGCACCCATGGAGGGTCACCTTTCCCAAGTGCTTCTATATTTTTGCACAAGGTGCCATATAATATTTTTGTATTTTTTGTGTTATTATATTATAATATTTCAATGGTCATTTTTCCACAAATTATTCAATTTGTGGATATATATATATATATATATATATATATAATATTTTTATAACTTATATTGTTTCTTTTTATTATTTTTTTATTTGTTTGGGTTTCATCGAGCATGAGCCAATGGACATTGTCTTTAACCCTCAAAGACTTCAAAACCTGAACCAATAAGTAAGGAAGAACTTGAAGATTTTTCCCAATCAACACACAAGAGCAAGCAAAATATGTCTTGTTTTCTTATAGGACAAAAATAGGGGCTCCACCCCTTCTTATATTTTTCTTTCATTTCCTTTTTTGAGGACAATCTTTGTTTCTCTTTTTCTTCTACCTAGGACAAAAACAAGGTGTCAGCCACTATGTTTTCTATGTTTTATTTTCTTAATGAATATGTTGATTTTCTATGTTTTGATATGAGGTTTATACTTATTCCGTGTATTGAGGATTATTGGTATTATTATTGAAAGATGACTGCTGGTTGCTTGAGAAACCTAAAGAACTACCCTAGAATTTATATATATTTTTTATTTTAAAAGTGCATTGCCTAGCACCTTGGCAACAAGCCATCCCTCTGTTACCTAACTTCACCTTGGTGCCTTGAAAACTACACTTTGAAGAAAGTTACCAACTTTTGTAATGGTAGGATCCAAAGACCTCAACCTACCACTAAAATAAACATGTATTGAATGCTTCATTCATAAGCTGTGCACTGCTTTGAGTTGTAACCATATTTTATCATTTCTTAAAATGTCAGCATTGTAATTCAACATTGCATTGGGAATCCTGTACCCTCAAATTTATTGAACCATTTTCAGAATTACTTGGTATGGACTAATAGTATTAGATATTAGAGGAAACCTTTGGTGCATCTATTACAAACCATAATGTTTGCATCCTTGGGGCACATGGGTTCTTTGCACTAGAACTTTATGCCAAATTTTAACTTGACCTCAATTTGATTATCCTAATTAGCTACTTAACGAATCTTTTGGATGATGGCCATGAAGAAGCTCAATGGTCAACAAAAAAAAGGCTTTACTCCATGGGATGTTCTAGTTCCATGCACATGTATCAATCTATTGTTGACAAGTCAACATCCAAGTCTGCTTTAGAAAATTTTCTATTATAACATCCAAAAGGATGAACAACACCATGAGCATAAATCATTGCATGGACTGGCATTTTCCTGCACATGCATAAATATGAAAGATTTAATATGGTTGTGTATTTTAGTCTCAATGTCTAGGCATGCTTACTAGGCTGCATCTCTATTATAGGACATAGTAGTTTTTCAATGCTTTGTCTGGATTGGTGCAAATTTTGGTTTCAATGATTGATTTAGGAAAGTACATAGCAATATCTAATTCTTGGGACACAATTGTTTGTAGGGAGGGGTTATTGAAGCAGCTTGGACCCGGAGGTCTAGAAGTGAAGCAGCAAAGAAACCCAACAGGAAATCATGGAAACAAAGGACAGATATGTATATGAGGCCATTCTTACTGAATGTTTTCTTCTCAAAAAGATTCATCCATGCAAAGGTGGTCCACCGAGGAACAAGCAAAGTGATTTCTGTTGCTAGCACAAATGCCAAAGATCTGAGGAATACTTTACCGTCTCTTACTGATCACAGTGCCTGTAGAACTATTGGGAGGCTAATTGCTGAGCGGTCCATGGAGGCTGATGTGTTTGCAATGTCTTATGAGCCCAAGAAAAATGAGAGAATAGAAGGTAAGCTTGGAATTATCCTTGATACTATCAAGGAGAATGGGATCATTTTTGTCTGAATTAACTTGTGCAGTTATGTAAGGTTTTAAGTTGCCCTACCATGCATAGTGGAGCCGTTCGATTGTAAATTAGTGAAGGTAAAGAAAGTAAAGTTGTCCTTAGTTTCTTTTAGCTTCACTCGTTATCCTTAAACCCTTGTTGATTTATCGCCCCATTTGTTTATACACATCCATAATTTTGTTGAAGTTCCATGAAATTTCACAAAGCCGACTTTGCTTTAGGAGAACAAATCAAAATAACCATATTTTCAATCTAAAATATCGGGGGGAAATTTTCATATTCTGATGCATTTTGGGCGCAATTCATAAAATAAGCTCAAGTGTATATAGTTTTATTTAGAAGTTAGAACATTATTTAAAGAACAGTAAGTCATGTGTTTTTTTTTTTTTAATTTTCCCATAACCCCTGAACCCTGCTGTGACAATGGAATTTGACCCCTGAACCAGTTACCAACTGAGCCACCATCGATTGGTTAACAAGAGATGATCAAACATCACATAAGGATGTGTTTGTGGATGCCAAAATTTTATGCAGTTAAAAACCTTGTTTGAGCAGATCCATATCCATCGAATGAATAACATGTGAATGACTATCACATTGTTCACCATTTCTCATTTGGTCAAGGATCATCAAGCCATAAACAACAAGGAAATATGTTATTCTTGTTTCCATTGTCCTCATGGCTCATTCTGGAAGGAGTACAGATACAAATATGTAGAGTGCAAAACCTTTGTATTTTGTATCTGTACATATTTGTATTTGTAATCTTTCCAAAATGAGCCGGTACTTCTCTCCATAACCTTCTTTTTTATTTCTATTAACTGCTTTATTGCAATTGGATTTTATTTCTTTACAAACAAGGTTATATGGTAAAAGTAGGGACCTTAAAAAAGGGAAACTTTAGCTCCTAAAAACCCTTGAACAAAGTTAATTGAGTGCAATACCAAAAAAAGTGAATTGAGTATGCAGTAATCCCGATCTTTAACAGGAGACTATAGGCGTAAGCTTATAGGGATTGCCGGTCCTGAATTCAAGTACCAAAGTCATTTTACCTTTCCATCGACCAACATCTTCACAACTACTATCGGGACGACTGGACAGTGATAGACTTCAAATATGGAAATTGCGCCATTAATGTGAGGAAATAGGGCATTGTTAACAGAAGGTTTACTAGCTTTTTATTGTCTGCTGTCCAACATATGAATATGGATGGCAGATGAGCATTGCCGTTTATCAATTACTAGTTTGGACTTTGGAATCATGTAATGGTTATATCTCCAACTTCCATAAGAAACGCTTACTTTTTTGAATCTGTATGTGTTTTAAGATGGGGGGTTTTATAAATTTTTTCCCCTCATAAAATTTTTATAGTTGAGATTTGAGAATAATGACAGATGGGGGAATTTTTCACAATACAAGGGATATTGTAGTATAGACAGGGTTTGAAACAATACATTCAAAAAACCGATAAAAATTTATGAGGAACTGTGGTCGCTTGTGGTGATTGAGAGAGAGAGAGAGAGAGAGGGAGATAGAGAGAAAGAGAGGTACGGATGAGAGGAGAAAAAATCAATACTGGTTGCCGCCAATTTTCTATTTATATTAATCTTTATAAAAGAGATGAAATTACAAGTATGCCCCTGGTGACATATCCTAGAATAAGAACAATAAGAAAAGAAAGGAAAAATGGCTAGTAGTTGAAATTGTCCTACTACCAGCAGCTATAAAGAACAATTAAGCCTTACAACACTCCCCCTCAAGTTGGGTTGAAGATGTCTATCATGCCCAATAGACCTGTTCATGGGTCGGGTGGCCCGACGGGCCAACCCGACCAGGCTTGACCCCCAGACGGGCTTGAACATGCTTATAGGCCCATGGGCTTAAATTCGGGCCAAAAAGCCCAGCCCGCAATAAATTCGAGCCGGGCTCGGGTTTTGTCAAAATAGCTCGGCCCGAGCCCAGCCCGACCCGACCTAATATTAAACTTAAAATTAGTTATGTGATTATGTCCATTTGAATAAATTTTTTGATTTAAGAATGTAAAATTATGTTTTAAAATATAAAAGAAAGGGAAAAATACCATCTTGTAGGCCCATTGTTCATTTAAATAGAAAAAAAAATACTATATGAATTTTTAATTCTAATTTGAATAGGGA